TTACCCTGATGGAATTCCATTGATTTACATGCATTTGCTACTCTTGATTTTGGACTCGATCCTGTGAAGTGCTGAGTGTCTTCAACTCACTCTGAAGACAATGGGTGGGTACTAAAGGGCTCAGTACCTCTCAGGATCAGACTGTCACAGGTGCTAGGCTCCCATGCAGTGAAGCACTAAAGTACCTGCTTAACTTTAAGCACATGCCTAAGGCCATCTCTATTTGGCAAAATAGTTAAACAAATGCTTACTTTAAGCATATGCTTAAATCTTATTGGGATTTAGGCATATACTTAAGTGCTTTCCTGATTCAGGGCCTATCTGAAAGCAGAACCAGGCCCTGGTATATAGCAGGGAGAAGGGAGGAACACGCCCAGACATCAATACTTATTTAAAAAAATTAATAAATAAGTGGAATATGTCAGGACTCAGGAGTCCCAATCAAACTTCCATTTGAAAGGGCTCCAGAGAGAGAGAGGGAGAGAGAGTACCGTGCAAACTGTGCCCTCGCTCTGTTTCTGTCATCTCTGAATATTTCATCGAACAAATTAGATTTTGCTATTAGATCTGTAAATGACAGTGGATGGCATTTGCCAGATGGTGTGTGTATTGTAACTGTCACATCATTATAGGTTTAAAATTAAAGTATGGGAAGTTGGCAAATGAACATACACTATATAATTTCCAGAATTCAACTCTGCAACGGTAGACATTAGCCACTCAGCACATTGTGTGTGGTAAAAAACAGTTACGTTTAACAAATGTCCACATTTTTAACTAGGCTAATCTCTAAACTGGTTTGTTCAACTTAGTTTAAAAGTCAACATTGAACAACATTATTTACTTTGTGCCTAAAATTATAGATTTTTTTTCTTGAAGACTTACACCTTGGCCATAACTAATATATGTAATTATCAGGAATACTTAACTAAATTGTCAGGAATAAGCTCTCAAATTAACTGGATGACTCTATTCAATATACTATGCCTACAATTTTTCCACTTGTAAAGAAAAACAATTAATAACTCTAATTCTTTAGGGTTGTGGATATATTTGTTTCAAGTACCTTTATTTGATATTACCATAAAATGAGAGCCTGGGTGGGAACTTTGCTTAGCTTTATAAAATTTGTTTGAGAGGAGGGCAACAGAGAGTGAGAGAACACCCAAATAAAATAATACATAATATATGTATTGTTGTTAAACTACATAACTGGATTGTTTCTATTTATCTATTGACTTCTCAAGGTATTGCCAATGCTAGCACAAAGAGGTACAGAAAGAGAAATCAGAATATACATCATGTTTCTCACTTGCATTCTCTTCTTTGTATAAGGGATAGCTTTATTAGTAAGAGACTGATCCAGCTTCCACTGAAGCGAATTGAAAGACTCCCATTGTCCTCAATGGAAATTTGATCAGGCCCTACTTGAATAGTACTTTAACTTAGTTTCACTCTAAAGCCTTGGTTCAGTGAGTGAGGGAGAAGCTTTATAAATCAATATGTTTAGTATGTCATTGTATATCAGTAGCTGAAAAGCTGCACAACCCTCTTCAGTAATATTTAGCACTGTGTTTGAAATCGACTTTCTATTCAGCTTACTACCAACAAAACAAAATGACTGGCCTCTCTCCATGCTCTGTGATGATTCAGTTTCATTCTGAAACCATTTAGCAAACAAAGAATGAAGGAATCACTTTGTTAATGAAGAAAATTCGCTGTTACCAGGGACTGAAAATCAGACCAGCCATATCAGTCAAACTGTACAATGAATAAACCTTCTCTGCTTTCATTCATATCAGTGCTGCACAAATGGCAAACCTGTCTGAAATGAAGAATGATATATATTTGGCAACAGTATGTTTTCTCTATATCAGATCCTGATCTCATTTACACTGGTGTAAATCTGGAGTAACAGCATTGCCTTTAACACAGTTGGTGTTTGATTTACACCAGTGTAATTGACATCAGAATCTGATCCACTTAATTTGATTGATTCCTTGTGTTCTCTATGAAGAAAAAATACAACACTTTCGTGCTACTTTGTCCCTTTCTGCAATACATACAGTGCTGTAGTCCTCGAGAACATTAAATCTAGTATTTTCTGTGTCAAATGGTACATCATAGCCCATGTATTTTTATATTGCATGTAAAGAATTAGTGCTAATCAGAAAATGGTAAGTATTTTGCATGAACATTTCAGAACGAAAAGTAAAAAATAGGTTTGTTTGGTTTTTTCAAAAATTTTCATAGGCTAGGTCTACACTTTTGCTGGCAGAGTAATGTTGGTTAGGGTGCAGGGTTTTTTTTAAAGGACATAGATGTAGCCCTTGTATAGATGCAGTAGTGCTGGCATAAAAGTGCTTTTTTCCTGTATAGCTTATATCGATTACCAAACCAGTATAAGCTATACTGGCAAAAGCTCTTTTCTGCTAGGATATGCTGCACCTACACGAGGAGGGTTTATCGGCATGGCTGTACCAATATAGTTATACTGGTAAATCTTTTCTAGCGTAGACCTGACCACAGAAATTTTCCAATTTTTCAGTGAAAAACTAAAAATGTTTGGTTTTCTGTCCCTGATCATTTTTTGTTTAGAAAAAAGTGACTAATGATTGTGGGTGCTTAAAGTTTTTGGGCGCTGAATTGAGACACCTCCGAAAATCAGGCCCCTCTGAGGGGCGTTAAGTTGGCCACCCAAAATAATTTAGTCGCTTTTGGAAATCTTGGCCTGTCGGCTGGAACCCGCCATCCTCTCCTGGTAGCACCCACAGTAGGGGACTAAGAAGCTGGGCAACTCCGCAAGGTCTCCCGATGGAGTTTCCCCCACATTATGACCTTAGCAGGGTTTGCCCCTGTATGGAACATGCTACAATTCTACCCCAAGCAGGGCCGGCTCCAGGCACCAGCTCAGCAAGCAGATGCTTGGGGCGGCCAACGGAGAGGGGCGGCACGTCCGGCTCTTCGGCGGCAGGTCCCTCACTCCCTCTTGGAGGCAAAGGACCTGCCGCCGAAGAATGAAGCCGCGGCGGTAGAGCTGCCTCCGAAGTGCCGCAGATCGCAATCATGGCTTTTTTTTTTTTTCCTTTCTGTTTGGGGCTGCAATAACCCTGGAGCCGGCCCTGACCCCAAGCACAAAGGGATCCTGAGTGATCTGCAGGAGACAAGACCCCTGTGTCTCCATAGCAGCTCTAGGTCCCGGGCAACCTACCCCAGGATATTTCCTGGCAGCTGAATTCCAGTAGAGCCATTCTACCAAGGGCCTCCTCTGGCCACAGCTTGCCTGGAACACTCCAATGCAGGGAAAACAAAGGAACAATGGTGCTGCTGAATGGATTTGTTGTTGTTTTTTTAAATCTTGAACATGTACTTCAGGGCTTGATCCTGCAAAGTGCCGAGCACCTTGCAAATTGAAGGTCAGTTAATTTCAGTGGGACTGCTCGTGTGCTTAAAACTAATCCCATGCCTCAGTGCACTGCTGGGTGGGTGCCAGAGGTTTCAGCACTTTTCAGGATCGAGCCCTTAGCTGTAGGATTGTTAAAGCGTATCTCCAGTTTACTTTCCACATGCTTACAGGTCATGCAACTCAGAGCGTGCTGTGCCCTGCAGATCACTTAACATTTGAAATCGTCAGCACAAGGGGAAATGCAGAAATGAGCCCCTTCCAGTGCCACCTTAAAGACAGTGGTGGGATAAGGTTTCTGACAAGTCTTCTGCTGGGTTTCCCTACGCAGCCAGATTTAAACATTGCAACCTCAGCAGGGTGCACAGCCACATAGCATGCGTGATTTGAATTGGAAATATACACTGTATGTGCTTTTAGCAAAACCCTGCCACTAAGATTTGAGCCTGCACCAGCTACAGGGAAGGGAGCAGTACTGACCACGAACCTGGCACGAACCTGGCACTGGAGCCAGTGCCACAGAAAGGTTCAGGATGGAAAGTGCTGCCAGGAGCACCTTACTGTCTTTCCATAAAGCTAGCATGTACTGTACTGCCAACCATAGCGTGCACACAGCGTGGCTGGGAGTATGGCCGGCTCCCCTTGCTGCTGTGATCCGTCCCTTGGTATTGTTCCCTCTTCCTATTGCCTGGGTGCAATAGTGGGGGGAGAAGACAAGGAACATAAGCTAGCCAGTATCTCTGGGGTTAGGAAGAAACAGTTTATCCATTATGGGGTTTCTTCCTCATCAACACTGCTAGTGACAAGATATTGGGTTTGTTGGACTCCTGGTATGGCGGTTCCCACCTTTCTGCCCCTATCCCTACCACTCCTCAACACACCTTCCCACACGACTCCTCCAGCAACGAAGGGCAGGATTTAGACTTTACTGCCAGTTGTCCTGCAGAGTGATGGCCAACTTCTCTGAGAAAATCACTCCCTGCAGCTGGCAGGTGTTGGTACAGCACCTACCACAGTTTGGACAGCACCTAAGGACACTGGTTGTGGCCTTTTGGTGCTACCTCCATATAAATATTAAATAATACTCATCCTCTTTACATACTGGCTGATATCACATTGCACAGTAGCTGTGCACCGCAGTTGTAGGGTGAACCTGTGACCTTTTGTATTATTGGAACCTACCTGGTGTTTGATTTAAAAAAACATAGAGCATCTATGTAACAGCAACTATTAGCCAAGGCACATAAAACGTAAATGTTTTGTGCAGTGATGTTTGTGTGGCATCAGAATAAATTAAAAAGCAAATGATTTAATTGTGTTTGTGCTAATTAAAATATTTACAAATTAGAGAGAGATGCATTTATTTTCCCATTGGGAAAGGGCCTTGACACCTCGCCTGTCTTGGAGTCGACAGTGCTGTCATTTATTCATAGACTGCTATGTATACCTGGGTGATTTGCTTTTTAGATTACTCTTCCGTGACACGTAATTCTCAGGAGCCTCCAACTTCAAGGGATTCAAAAACAGGTTTATATGTACACATATATATGTGTGTGTGTGTTTTAACCAAATGCCTTTCTTTCCCCTTCTTTTCAAGGTCCAAGAGTTCCAATTGTGACTGTTCACAACACGACAGATAAACAAAGTAAGTACTGGGTTGTATTTGGTGCGTCCTCAAAGAGAAGCAGTCAGGCAATGTAATAAAATACAGCCATTCTCCATTACTTTCAACAGGGAGTACCCAGACTTTGTCTATATGTGGGCCACACAGACCTCTTAGCTGGAGCTGAAGGGTTGAAACTAATGTATATTATACCGAGAAGATTGCAAGGCAGGTGGTGTGCCTTGAGTAAAGCGCATTGTGCTAGATGCGCAACGTGCATGTTTTAATGTTACCTTGTCCTCCCCTCCCCTGCTGTGTGTTTCATCTACCTGTTGCAGGTTTTTGGAGCCTAGACTGAAAAGGGCTGACTTTCAGTAAGGGTTTGTACAGCCCCTAGGACAGAGGAGCCCTGGTTGCTGAGAGGAGCCCTAGGCACTACTGTAATACAAATAATAAGCAATAATAACAGACAGCTGTGGAAGTGTAGCCAGCAGAGACCACAAGTTGCATCAGACAGTGCTTATCTTTACTGTGGAATGTGGCCCAAAGCTTGAGCAGCTGTAGCTCCCAGCCAGATGGAGCATCGCCTCCTGGAACTGTAGTCTCCACACCACCATAGTAAAACTAAGCGCAACCACACCTGAGCTTCACGGGCAGTTCTTACTCCAGACTTAAAATTATGGGCTGAACACATGAGCAAACTAACCATGTTTCGGTGCGCCGAGTCCAGTGGCTATTAGATTTGTTATTCTGCTGGCTGTCAACTTTCAAGTAGTCATGAATAGTTGTAAGAATTACTAAGAGGAATGATTTTCAAAGGCACAAAGGGCAGTTTGGGGCCCAACTCCTGCTGAAAGCCAATGGGAGCTGGAACCCTAACTTCCATTTGTGCCTTTGAGAATTTCCTCCTGTGTTATTTATTCAAGTGGCATGTAGGTGGTTAACATTGTAGCTAAGTACTTACTTGGCCTCCATTACTGTAGTGTCTGAGCACCTCGCAACCATTAATGTATTTATCCTCACAACATCCCTGTGCGGTAGGGCACTGCCATTATCCCCATTTTACAGATGGGGACTGAGGCACAGAGAGGCTAAGTGACTTGCCCAGGTCACACAGGAAGTCTGCATTGGAGCAAGGAACTGTTCCCAGGTCTCCTGCCTGCTAGGCTGTCACTCAAACCATTGCAGTTTAATTTCTGAAAGTTACCTTCAGAGAAATATTTCTAGAAATTGTATGTATATGTTCGCTGATGAAAAGCGAATTGGAAATACCAGTCATCATTAATATTGTAGAGTTGCACAATCCAAATATATCTCTTCATTAATCTGATACTATGCCATCATGGAAAAGACACGTTTAACAACCAATTGATGGAGTGATAAAAGCCGTTACAATAGGTACCTACCAAGTGTGCGTGGGGTGGGGGGTGATTATCTATTGATTTGAGCACCGGACTTGGACTACGGTGTTCTGGATTCTATTCCCAACTCTGCCATTAACTTATTATTTATTTGGGGTAGTGCCTTGGAGCTCCAGTCATGAAGCAGGACTCCATGGTACAAACACACAACAAAAAGTCCCTGCCCCCAGGAGCTTACAGTCTGGGTGTAAGACAAGAGAAAACAGATAGATACAGATGGGCGGGGGAGTACAAGGAGCAATGAGACAATATTGTCTAAGGTTATTTCTACATTTACAGTTGTGTGCAGAGTACCTACACTGCACCCCCCCCCCCCATAAATAGCCATGTAGATGGTGAGGCACTGGTTAGACAAGTCATGACACACCTGAACTGTAGCATATACACCCTACGCAGCTCTTTACTAGCCCAAGCAGTTCCCCATCCACACTTGCTATTTTTTAGCAGTGTAGTGTCTTGCTGCTGGAGCCTTTCCACATGCCCGAGCCCTTCCCTGCTGTGTGTAGCTGCAGCCTGCTTTTCACTGCGGTGTGTAGCTCCGTACTGGAATGTAGATGCAGCCTGCTTTTCACTGTGGTGTGTAGCTACATGCGCCCTACACCCTGCCACTAGTGTAGACAAGACCTAAATAGACAAGACAGATACAGAGTGGGGGTAGAAACCACAACGAGAGTGAACCATGTGATGGCAGCAAATGTCATGTTAATTCCATGAATTTTCTCGGGGTGCTTACTTAGGAGGGGATCTACTAAATGGGAAGGAGGTGAGGGTGACAGGGCAGAGGAGGACAGGATAGGAGGCGCAGGTGTGGAGTAAGGTAAGCTTTGTGACCTTAGGCTTTCTATTTTAGTCTCTCTATGCCTCAGTTTCCCTATCTGTGAAGGGGAGATAGTAGTACTTGCCTGCCTCAGAGGCGTGTGGTAGTGAGAGTGGGCTAGATTCTACCATCATTTACGCCAATATGAATCTGGAGTAACGTTATTTACAGGGTGCAACACCAGAGCAGCTCCCAGCACCCGAGTGTACCAGTGAACCTGGCCCCCAAATACAGCTGCTGCATGAGGCTGAGTACCCTCATTTCCCATTGAAGGCTGTGGGAGCTGAATCTGTCCGTGGGAAGAGAGTGGGTCAGGCCCAAGGAGTGCAGGGGCAGAGTGGGTGCAGAAATCCAACAGCCAGACATCACAAAAGAAATGATTTGGAAAGATGTTCAGTGGGACAGAAGTGGGGGCAGTTGTTCCAAGCATAGAAGAAACCGTGAAGCCAAGGGTTTTGTTATCAAATAACAAGCCTAGATGTGAACAATCTTCGGGTATGTCTACACTTTGAGCTGGGGGTGTGATGCCCAGCTCGAGGAGACAAACCTGCGCTCGCTCTGCTCAAGCTAGTGTAGCCAGGGTGACGCAAGCAGTAGGAGGGGCTAGCGTACTTGAGGTAGCTAACCCCTCCCACCATTCCCTCTGCTGTGGCTACACTGTTTTTAGTGCACTGGCTTGATCAGAGCTAGTGTGGGTATGTCTCCTTGAGCTGGAAATTACTCCTTCAGCTCAAAGTGTAGACACATCCTAACATTGTCTTTATGGACCTGATCCTGTACTCTTTGCTCAGGTAAATCTCCCATTGAAAACAGGATCAGGCCTGATACAGTATCAGAGAATATCAGGGTTGGAAGGGACCTCAGGAGGTCATCTAATCCAACCCCTGGCTCAAAGCAGGACCAATCCCCAGACAGATTTTTACCCCAGTTCCCTAAATGGCCCCCTCAAGGATTGCACTCACAACCCTGGGTTTAGCAGGCCAATGCTCAAACCACTGAGCTATTCCCAGGGCTCATGATGTGTAAAGAAAAACACAAGGCTCCCATCTGCTGTTTAAACGTTGTGTGTGTGATTTCATTCTTCCTGCTCTCTCAATGCGCTTTGCTGACGATGTGCCGTTCAACTACTTCTCCCCACACCCCACCAGAAGAGTCTTGTACATAAGCAGAGCCGGCAGGGCACAGCCACAGATGTGTATCTGAATGATTTAAAATCTCTTCTTGTAAGAATGCAGTTGTGACTGGCTAAAGTTATGGCTAGAGAAGGCATGTAGTTTAGATTGAGATGGGTGTTTGGGGGAAAAACACAAATAAAATCAAGGTTTGCCTGTCGTATGGTTTAACGGAAATATAAGAGGGTGAATCAGAGTGGAAAATGTCCAATTTGATGTATATTGTAACTTTTGTTGTTAAGCCATAAGCACTGAGTAGAATAGTGTGCTTCATTTGGGAGATTGCCAAGGAAGATATATTGTACACTGTAACAGGGTCTGATGCCTTCTGAGAGCCACCACGTGGCCTGCCTCAGTTTCCCCTCTTGCTTCCTCAAATAACTCAGACTTCTCTCTGTTCAATAATACCCCTCCTTTGGGCCTGGTTTTATTGGCAAAAAGCTAAAAACAAAACAAAAAGCCTTCTCTCCCCCCCCCCCCCACCTTAAACTGGGCACAGCTCCTCCTTTCTGGGGTACTGTCTCAAAACTCCCCTGCTGTCTCATGGCCCTCCCTGCAAAGAACCTGAGCCCAGGTCTTCCTGCCTGGAAACTTGCCTGGTGTCTCAGGGACTTCCCTGCTTTAGCAGGCCACTCCCAGCCCTTCCTAGTTGGAGCAGCTGCCCTTGTCTCAGGATCTTCCCTGCAGGAGCCTTTCTCACTTTCTGCTACAGTTTCCTCTTCCTGTTTCCTGCTCTCCTCTGGCTCTGTGTAGAGCCTTCTGTCAGACCCCATTGAGAGGCTGTTAAAGAGGCACAGGGGAGCTGAACCAGTTCTCTCTCAAAGGGCCCAATCCACCTGTGACGTACATTTAACCATAATTTATTCCCCTTCCCATCTCCAATTAACTGTTTAAAATTCAAAGTTTTCTTTATGATGAAATTCAGACAGAAACAGACAGGCACAGAAATCAGCAGCATCCGTAGGAGTAGTTACGTGCATGAGACACAACATGCCTCCCATCTCTGAAAGCCTTGGCACAAACAGAGCACGGGGCTGGGATTCAGAACACCTGGGTTCTATTCCCAGCTCTGCCACTGGCTGCTGGCGGACCTGGGGCAAGTCCCTTCACCTCCCTATGCCTCAGTTTCCTCATATGGAAGGTTGGGCTAGCGATACTAACCTCCTTTGTAAAATGTATTGAAATTCTGGATGAAAAGCGCTCGGTAAGAGCTAGGTGGTGCACTTCTCACTGATGCATTCCTGGAGGAATAGTACAGACACAAGCAGCAGGAGCTAACCAGGAGCAGATCACCCCTTCCTGCAAGAAGCACCTGAGGTGGGGAAAAGAGGTTTCCCCAGATCATTGTGCCTGATAGGGAGGGTTTGTCCCACATGGAATGGACAGAAGGGTTCTGCCTTACCCCGCAGATCCCCCAAGATCTGGGCTGATCTCCACTGGAAGCACAGCGCCATCCACCCCCTCTAGCTCGGTTGGATACCCTGGAACCTTCAAAGGACCCTTTCTGGAAACCACCCCTAAGGGTGTTTCCCAGCATGGCTACCATGAAACCACCTTTAAAGGAGGATTGTCAATATGGACCGAGCTGTGTAGAAAAGCTATTCCGGCCTGGGCCTGCATTTGTTTGCTGTTTCCGCAGTGGGCGTGGGAGAATGGTGTAACTATCCCCAGGCCTGTGGAACTCCCTCTCTGGGATCCAGGGCAGAGCAGCTGGAAACAGTGCCATGGAGGCAGGACAGATCCAAGTACAGAAGGAATTCCCAATGTGTGGAGCTGGGCCCTGGGGAAAATGCAGCTTTTGCAACGCATAAATACCAACTGGTACTTATTGATAGATACTAGATGCTAAAACAGTCAAAGAGGCTCAGAAAATACCTCTTTACATTTCAGGTTAATAATATTGAGAACATATTGCAGACATGCTGTTTCTTTAACCTTAACACATTGTTTAAGTATCTACCAGCATCTCAGCCTCTCTGTGCTCTCTACAGCTATAATGATACATCCACCCATTTTGTCCCTGATGGAGGCTTTGGCCTGACTCCCCCTTTGCACCAGTCTAAGTCAGGAGTTGTCCCACTACAGTCAGTGGAGTTACACTGGTGTAAATCTGAAGCAACTGGGCGGAGCAGCACGGCCATAGAAAAAGCCAAACTTCAGCCAAGGCAATCTCTGGGTTTCTGCAGGCTACGCAGTCCTAGGAGGCTACAGCATTAGGCTGTCAGAAACATTTCCACAAGTCAGGAATTGCTTCATAACTCTGGGATCTGCAATTACAAGGAGGCTATGTGAGCTCGTCTTAATGAGTAATAGTATTCCTGATCTCACCCTCATGCCTCGCGTATAGTTTTTATGCAACTCGTACAGTATTGTTTGGTCACTGTTAAGCCCAGGCCAGTTTTTCATTTTGTTTCTTACAGAAGAGGTAAGGGGGGGACCAATTCTAGGAGAGGGGGATCTTCTGGAATAAGCTTCTTTATTTTACATTTTAAGTAACAGAGAAAATGGCCTGCTTTGTATCTGCTTATTTTATGTTTCTATCAATGTCAATGAGGCTAAGAGCATGACTAAAGCAGTCAAGATTTGGCCCTGATTTTGGACTTTTGCATAGAGTGATTTAATTTTTGGACATTCATGAGTCTTTTTTTGGCTGTTTTTTTCTCTCCGTTTTCTTTTTATGTAGATATTTTGATTTCCCCATGGCTATAGATGTGACTGATTGCATATAACGGCATATACCTTATAGCGCTCTCATGATATTGAAAACAGGATCATAAATGACTGTTATGTGTATAGCGTGAGAGCTATCATGGAATGTAAAAAGCAAATAAAATACTTGACAGAAGTGGCATAAAACATACTGAGAATGTTGCTGTATATTGAAAGTTATAGATGTATAGTATTTATTGCATAGGTAATTAGATAGAGGCATGCACAAAACTCATCCTGTTTGCTAGAATGCATGATTTCTACATTTGATTAGCATTTCCCCTGGTTCCTCATTTTCTAGCATTTTGTTGCTTCTAAATAAAGGAGACGATTATGACAGTTGAATTTACTCATTAATTTGAGGCCATTACTCTATAAAGGGAGTTTGTCTCAGTATTCTGCAATAATCTGATAACAATGAGTCATGCCAAATATTATAGAGTGCTTACATTTAATTAAGCACTGACCATTTGTACTTCACAGACGAGGGTTCCCTGTAGTCCTAAAGCAGAAAAGAAAGTCCTTTAGGAGATGTGCCAATCTTTTCTTATTTCCTTCACTCTGTTCCTGCCTTTCTCTGGATGCAATTATATGAACAAATAAAATGGGTTTACTGAACTCCCCTGTGTGTCAGACCTCGTTCTGCTGATAAAGCTAGTTGTGTGGGCCATAATTAAACGAGAATCCTAATATTTAACTAAACTTAATAGTCTGTTGCTTTGGAGCTTTTGTGGGAGTTATGAATTCAATAGAGATGATCCAGGCTTTTCAGAAACACGTTGAATAGCCATTGAACCATTATAGCCACTTGCTGAAAGAGCTGTGAAATGTATTAACTGGTAACGGCATGTTTTTGTGCTGTGCCTGCTTTTCTATTCACTGGAGATGGGCATGACTAAATGTGATTCAGAACATGATTATGAACTACCTACGGTATTATATTTTCAGGAGGGCCTGAGGGAGTAGTATCCATAAACATAAGTGTCATTAAAGTGCAGTTATAGTCAATAAAATGTGTAATTGGTGTTGGGAGGTTCCACATTATATTTTACTCAGTGTCTTCCAGATCAAATAGAACATATTTATTATAATTTCATAGGGAAAAAAATTTCTGGGTCAGACACTCAGCTTAAAGAAGATGAAGTGTTCGTGGGATCCAGATTTCAAGAGGGATGGGGTCAGAAGGATGGGCCTCTGCTGGAGAAGGTCCTTGTATGTTGAAGCTGAGCCCTCAGTACACACAGATGAGGTTCATGAATCAAGCCTGCCTCAGCCAGACTCTGGCTACGAGAATCAAAAGACACTGACCCTTGTCAGAACCCACTGTATCAAGGAAAGGAGGGAAGGTATCAACTGGCTCCCTGCACCCATGACACAGAAAAGTTACCCTGTGCCAAGATATTAGGGTCCAGGCATGTGGTGCAGAATCTGGAAACCTGGGAGTTACAGCTGGACTTGAAGAGATTGATAGAAGGAGGCTGGGGGCAGGTGAGTATTTGGTTGAAGGCCTGCTGGTGCAGGGACCACTCCTCTGACAGAGTCGTTTCTGGCACAGCCAGTCCATTGGAAGATTCAGAGAGCTGGGTACATACAGGGCTTTGAAGGACCCCAGAGGAAGAGGACATTGGATTCTCCCTGGAATGGAACATTCTAGTCCTGCCTTGATTCAGGTTGGCCATCATGATTGTGTTGTCCAACATGATCAGGATTTGGCTGAGGAAGGAACTGGAGACACAATCTCCAACAGCCTTGAGCTCCAGGGAGTTGCTGTGGCACTTCGTTTCCAATGGCCTGACTCTGATGAGTTGTTAGATGCTAGAGGTCTTGAAGTAGGGCAAGGCCTGCCCAGCCTTCATTTGCTGAAGGGAATGAAGGGAATGAATTAGTTCTTTTCTGTCGAGAGGGAAGAGAACAAGTCTTGCCAGAAAGGCTAAGAATGGAACCTGGCCTGCAGCAAAGCCATGCATGATCAGATACAGTTGCTCCATGTTGGGATGTGTCTCCTGGCCGCCTCTCCATGTAGCACGTATTGCTGCTGAGAACCCTCAGAGCTCTTCAGCCAAGCAGCAGCTCCAGGTTCATTGTAAGCTGTTTTGGAGAGAAGTCACTCAGCTGCTGGCCCTGCTTGGAAGGGAGGGGCCAGCTGGAGATGAACCACCCCATGAGGGCTAGAGCGTTTGGCTCCAGAGCAGGAGAGAGGTTGCTGCTCAGCAGGAAGCAGCTCAGCGTTCAGGTACAGCCTGGGCGGAAGGAAAAGGAGTGCCACCTGGAGACCAGCTGATCAGGAGAAGGGAACAGCTCAGCAGGGGGCAGTGGAACAGCCGAGAGGAAGATGTCACCTTAGGCAACTGCATGATATCCCTAAAACATAGGGCCACTCCATGAATCCAGTCAAAGTCGGAGCTACATGGGCTCAGCCCTCAAGTTGAGTTGGGAATCCAGAAACTGGGACACTCAAGTTTGGTGGAACACTTGAAAATGTAGGGCTTAGGCCTTAACCACTAGATCCCTCCATAACACAAGCGCTGTCTGTCTGTGTTGTCTCTGTGCATGGCTGTCTGTCTGTGTGATACAGAGCATAGTGCTGGTCCAAGGGAGATGTTTAGAATGTGAACCAACTCGATTGCAGTTTGCAGAGCTGTGTGGTAGGTGATGAATGATGTTCTGTTTAGAGCTTTCATTGACTCTTAATTGTTTCATATTGATTCCACATGCCTGGAGAACTCTCGACCAGAATATCTTCCCCCAGAGTGAAAATCTCAACGAATATACATCTGCGCCAAAAAAAATCCTCTTCTCCCATTCCATTTGAACTGCAGAGTGAGCTCTTAAAATGCATCGATTCCACTTTAATCTTCTGTTGCTTTGTCTGAGGCGAAAACACTGTTACAGCATGTAGACTTAGAAGGCTAGATCCTCAGCTGGTGTAAATCCACTTAGTTCTATTGATTTCAGTGGATGCCAGTTGATACCACCTCTTGATCTGGGGTAAAGGTGTTTTTTCCCCCTCTGAGATAATAGAGCCCATAATAATTCTTTGGATCTGGAGCATATTTCAGAAATATTGCAAGGTAACTACTACATTTTAGCTGTGCCTCTCTCACCATAGACTTTAGAGGGGACAGTGTGTCTAGAAGGAAACTATTTGTTTTAAAAATATTAGGGGCCTGGGTAAAATGTTAAGTTGTCCATGAATAACTCCAAAGGGTTTGTATGGGTTTTTGTCCTTATTCTTGCAGAAATCTTTGAGCTGGAGGTAAATGAAAATGTGCAGCTGACTGTAAATGATAGGCAAATGCCTAAAGTGGAGTACATGGAAATCAAGATAGATGATTACAGTAAGTCTCTCTTTTCGCCTTATGCTATTATTGTTGTGAGATCATCATCTTGACTGGATAGGCAGGAGGAAAAATTATTGTGGCTCTCAGTGACATCGTCCAGTTTGGGAAGCACTTCGCTGGGAAATGCTACATAGAAGGAAGTTATTCTGGAGACAGGAGTTGATGAGGATGGAGGAGACAGAAAGAGAAAAGGATAAAAATTAGCTTTTATATAACAAAAGTAATTGACACTAGGAGATGGCATGATGTGGATCACCTGTCCATTACAGGGCGTGTTTGCTGTAACATGACTGGTTTATTAGTTAAAATAGGTTTGAAATGGAATATTATATGTGCTTACTAGCTACAACTGTGGCAGTCTCTCAGTACAGAGCAGTAAACTGCCGTGAATCAAGCAGTAATCACCAATCAGGATACATGCATGTAAGAGATTTTTAGTCTCAGTGATTTAAAATTTTTCATGAAACCCACGTAATTTGATAGAGGTTGGAAAAAACAGCTGTACAAGAAAAGGAAAGACAAAATCAAAGGAAGTTCTTATTTGCAGCAGCGAAGAATGAAACTTGGAGCAGTTTAAAAATGCAGCTAGTTCTTTTTTGTGCCACTCCTTAATTAAATATTCTCTCCCCAGCTGTGTGCAAAAGAGGAGAGACGAAAGGAAGGGGGTGGGGACAGAGATACAAACAAACGTAATCTAGACAAAGTTAGGACCAAATAGTTCAGATATTTTCCACCAGCCTCCCTAGCTGCACCTGCAACATTTTTAAGAGTGTCTGTTTTGTTACATGGAAACTCCACATTTGAAATCCCAAAATATGTAATGGCTCCTCCAGATCCTAATTTCTGCATGGCATTTGTGTGGCTATACTTGACAATTTGGAAGCAGTTAAGGAAATAGGGCTGAAAACATGTTCCTTGACATTTTCTCTATGATGGGATTGGTCATAGTAGAGATTTCCTTCAAATGCAGAGTACTGTAATAGAAAACATCCGTTCAGATACGACATAGAATGACGCTTACACAGAAAGGAAGAGAGATACTGTGTTACTGCATAATCTGGACCAGTGAGTGGTGTTATAAAACATGAGGCCAAAAGCTATTTGAACACTGCAGTAATTACCTAAAATGCTCTGCCTCGAACATTGATATTATGAAGAGAAATTGATGCATAGAAATAAGGAAAACAGAACTGTGCATTTCCTGAACATTATGGGCAAAGATAGAACATCAGTGGCAGCCTATCATTAAGAGCCAACTCTATCCAGGCCACATGAGCCATTTCATAATTATATTTTGAATTTACTATAAATAACTCAAGAACTGTTGCTAACATTATTAACTGCAGTTGTTGGTGAAAGTATCTTCTGCTGATCTTAACTAGCCTGTTTTTTGTGTGTAATAAATACAAGCCGGCTGTATTTTTTCATGTGCCTTCACCATGTATCCAAGGTCTGCCCTAAAGGCGTCCCAGTAACTGGAGCAGTGTGTGCCATGTTTTATGTATATTTAAAGTCAAATGGCGGTCTCTCTGACTGTCCCTGGGCCATTGATCCAATTTGCAGTCCATTAGCATTCAGATGGAATAAGTAATTAGACTGAGCATCAGAAAATGATTGCAAAGCAAACCACTTAAAGCTAGTGGTTAATCTGTATATTAATTGTATTGAAAATCCTGCTAATACAGATTTAATTGCCATGCCTTTGGTAATCTGGATTATAGGTAATATTTTAAAAACAAATGCTGTCTCCTCATTAATGCAGAAAGCATTTGTGTGGGAGCACTTTCATATACCGATTGGTGGTCAAGAAGAGCATCTCAGAGTACTTAAATGAAGTTTTGGGGGTTACCATAGCACAACTGGGGCCTAACTCAGATGTCACATACACAGATTTTATACCAGTGTAACTCTGTCGATTTGGAGTTACTCCTGATTTGTATTATACCAGAGGAAGTGAGATCAAAATCAGGCCCCTGGAATTTAGGATTAAGAGGCAAGTCCATCCCCTAACTGTCTTGAAGCCCTTAAGCAGAAAAATTCTGCCTGTCACATCATCAGCCATGTTTTAATTGGCAATTGTACCTTACATTCCTGTTGTCTTAAGCTATTGTTACCCTCCCTTTCTCTGCCTCCCCAAAATATTGATTCTTGGCAGTGTCACTCATCCAGCTGCCTAAAGGGAAAATAATAGCTATTGCCAGATGTTAATTGCCTGTTGTGTAAGTGATGCATGACTAAATAGCTCACTCTAGGTTTAGATTTCTTGTCACCTCAGCTATTACGGTCTGCATCTTATCCTTGATTACATCTGTGTTTTTAGGGTTTTATTTACCAGAGCATTTATGAAATGCTGTTTTATTTCTGTTGATAAGTGGCCACAACATTGTCAACATCTGTGATAATTATCTCAACATTCCCATATTAAATCCTTGTTGTTGTTTGTTACTTTTGCCTAGAATTGCCAATGCAAATCTTAAAGCCAGCAACCTTTGCGGACACCATACACTATCCTTTGCTACTGGTTGTGTAAGTTTTCTTATTTTTATTTGTAATCTGTAATTCTTATTTTTACTTGTAAACACCTAAAAGCAACCAAGATCAGCGCCACAATGGGCTAGGTGCTATACAAACGGAGGATAAAAGATGATCCATGCACTGAAGAATTTACAATCTATGGCTCCTATTCTGTAAAGAATTACACACATGCTTAATTATACACACTCTGCGTATTGCCATTGACTTAAGGGAAAACATACTGCATTTTTAAGAGATCTCTTACACCTAGCCAAGTGCAATGTTGGTACCAACCACACACAATACTCCCTTCACACTATGCCAACTTCTTTAGGGCTAGTTTACATTGGCAGCGTGGCTTGTGTAGTCGCTCTAAAAAAACCACCTCCTAGAGGGGCGTAGTTACCAGCACTGTCTACACTGGCGTTTTACAGTGCTGAAACTTGCTGCAATCAGGGGGGGTGTTTTTTCACACCCATGAGCAAGAATGTTGCAGCGCTGTGAAGTACCAGTGTAGACAAGCCCTTAGACTGAGGGTACATCTACAAAGCAAGTAGGATTTCACGGCCGCAAGTCTCAGAGCCCAGGTCTACAGACTTTGCTACAGCCCTAAAAATAGCTGGGAAGACATTCAGGCTCCATCTGTAGCTATTTTTAGTGCATAGCGTGAGCCCAAGTCTAGACCTAGGCTCTGAGACTTGCTGCCGTGGGGTCCGACTTGCTGTGTAGACTTAAAGACCTTCATAGTTAAAGCTAGAGTGATAGCAGACCCAAAGCCATTGGGATCATGCTATTTCAGGATGATAAAGGAGATGTCTTAAAAAGGAGGGCTGCCTATGAAAGAACTGCTCAAACCAAAAAAAAATCAGCAATTTTTTTAAAATTCACATCCTGCTCCCTTTTGGGTGAAGCTCAGGGGACAAGCTACAGAGTTTCCAGACTGCTACAGGAATATGGAACTTCCTTAAAGATCTTCAAATAGATTTTTCACTGAACAATTTGCGTCATCTCTCCACCACAAATAACAGTGCTGGCTCCACTCCACTCTTCCAAATTGGTTATTATCTCTCTCAGACCTGGCTACAAACACTGTAAATTGCATTGGGCAAAAATGGACAAGGCCTTAATGAAAATTCACTTTAAACCCAGCAGAGAGTTGTGAAATCAGCTTTTCTCAATACTGCAACTACTTTGAGGGATCATTTCTATTTAACGTGAATCCACTGCACACCCCTCCCTCCCCTGGCTCTTCAATAGTGTAATATCAGGGGATCTCTTAGCAGGACTGGGTGAGCACATTAGAATACTACATTCGGGGATGTGTTGTCTTCCTGTTAAACTGTGGCAGCCCCTGTTGGGGAATAGTGACATGTTTACTTTCTAATGGCTATTATAGCCTCTGCAAAAGCTTAAACCTATAGTTACTCTGTCCTGTGGTCCTAGAAATAGCGGTGAATAACCAGCCACCCCTGTCCAAATGGTGCCTTCCTCATAGCAGCACCAAACTATCAATGGCGTCTAGCCCAACAATTGAACTGTCTTTACAGCTAGTCCACTGAGTCATTTAGGCCCAAATCCTCAAAGATTTTCAGGCACCTAACTCCCATTGATTTCAAGCCGGGATGCACTTTGCTGAGAGAAAGGAGTCTGATATAGGAATGAAGGAGGCAAAGATGCATTGCGAATGAATTCCAAAACACCATCCTGCAGCTTCTTTCAATGAGGGACAAAAACACTGCAATAAACAGGCTGCCACATCACAAAATTACTTCAGCGAAAACGTACTTCATTATACAAGTGCTTGAGGAAGATTGGTACTCATCAAGCTAACGACACTTGATTAGGCTGCCTCTGAAAGTGGATGCTCCTGGGCCTTTGTGGAGCAAATGCAAATAACTAAAGCAGGGGTTGGCAACGTTCAGCACGCGGCTCGCCAGGGTAGGCACCCTGGCGGGCCGGGCCGGGCCAGTTTATTTACCTGCTGACGCGGCAGGTTCGGCTGATCGCGGCCCCCACTCGCCGCGGTTCGCTGTCCCGGTCCAATGGGGGCGGTGGGAAGCGGCGCGGGCCGAGGGATGTGCTGACCGCGGCTTCCCGCCACCCCCATTGGCCCGGGACGGCGAACCGCGGCCAGTGGGGGCCACGATCGGCCGAACCTGCCACGTCAGCAGGTAAATAAACTGGCCCGGACCGCTAGGGTGCTTACCCTGGCGAGCTGCATGCCGAACGTTGCTGACCCCTGAACTAAAGTCATATGCATGTTAAAAAATTGAGAGACGTTTTCTTGTGTCTCTGGAAGCCCATAAAAGGAACTGAAGTAGGTGGAAATGCCAGTATCCCTAGTCATTTAGAACTAACTCTACAAAATCTCCTGTCCCTTGCTCACCCTATTTCTGTGGGTGTATTGTAATTTCTGCTTTGTACGGAGAGTTTGAGAAGCTCAGCTCAGTGTTGTTTGCAGTGTTTGTGTGTTTCTTGTGATCATTTAGGACTAAGTGCCCCCAAAGAGCATGCAGTCTAAGGCCTTGATCCTGCAAAGAGAACTGCATTGATGGGACCCGATTTGGGGGGTGGATGGGAGAAATCTGCTAACACAGATCTCTTCCAGCACCAGGATTTCCCTGAGAGAGAGCCCTGTTCAGCTGATCACCCTGCCCACCCACTGCAACCAGAGCTGAACTGTTATTGAAGTCAATTGTTTTATCATCAGTTTGTTTTTTAATTTGCCTTTCCCTTGTATCTATTTTAAGCAATAGTGACATCAAGTGACTGACAGTCACATCTGTAGCCACTATCCAACACTCCTGCAGGAGAGGGGAGGTTTATGATGGGTGACAAGAGTCTTTCCTCCCCAAATTTTCTGCAGTGCTCCCAGGGTAGGCCCTCCCAGTTAACCTCTGCCAGCAGGGCCGGCTCCAGGCACCAGCCGAGCAAGCTCATGCTTGGGGCGGCAGATTCCAAAGGGCGGCATTCCATCTATTCCTTTTTTTTTTTTTTTTTGCGCTTCACCGCTTTGGCCGCCCCTGCAGGTTTTTTCTTTTTGGTTTGCTGCTCCCGCCACCCGGTAGGGGGCGGAGGAGGGGAGCGCCCTGCAGCAAGCCCGGCAGGGCAGCCCACATCCTTCCCTGCCTGCCGACCGGAGCGGCGTGGAGCCCTCCCGGCAGGCAGCGCAGCGGGAGGGGCCGCGAGGCAAGCGCCCCGCTTAAAGAAGCCCTGGACGCCCCCCGCTAGCCGGGGTGCGCGCACTCTGCTGCCCGGGGTCTGCAGGGCCGGGAGTCCTCCTGCACCCACACTCCTGCTGCCCTGCAGGTATTTTGTTTTTGTTTTTTTCTTTTTTCATTTTTTCGCCACTCCGGCAGGCCGGCCAGTTTGTCCCCGTCCCCCCCCACCCCCCCCGCCGGGGGCAGGTTTGTTCCCCGCCCCCCCCCCCCCCCTTCCCCGCCCCGGCCGGCCGGTTTTCCCCCCCCCCCCTTTGCTGCTCCGGCCAGCCGGTTTGTTTTCCTCCTCCCCTCCCCCCACCCCTTGCTGCTCCGGCTGGCCGGGCGTTTTTTGCTTGGGGCGGCAAAAAACCCAGAGCCGGCCCTGTCTGCTAGGAACCCCACAAGAGTTCAGTCCCTACAGACTGGAGGGATGAGAGAGAAAGAAAGAAATATAGATTGGGGCCAGCTCCTCAAGTGGTGTATAATGGCATAACTCCATTAACTTCAGTGAAGCTATGCCACTTTGGCCAAGTGGAGGATCTGGCCCATTTATGTGAATGCTTCCTAGTTTCACAAAATGCTTCAATATCATGGTGGTGGTTGCCAAATAAGATCTAGATAGATAGCTGGGAAAACTTTCCTGCAGCTTCCTTTCCTGCCTCAAAAACCATTCCACACACCAGACCTCCCTGCGACAGTGCTGTATGAAGACAGATATCATGGCTTTCCCGTTAAAATCGATGTCACCTTATAACGCGTGTAGCATCGGTGCAAGCTGGTCTGCAAATTCACCTTTAAAAGGAGAGACTGTATTGTCACTTTTAAAAGAGATGATGTGGCATGAAAGGCCTCTAGTCTTGGGCAGCCTTGACATTGTTCCATTGAGCATGAATAAGACGCATGTGGTTTGTCTCTGTTTTTGTTTCAGTGACGGAACACCTGGTAGCCAGAGTGTAACAGAAAAGTTTGAAGTGAATTGGGAAAGCGTGCTGGTCAGCTCCCACAATGCAATTGTGATGAAGTTTGATGGCCGGGGCAGTGGATTCCAAGGCACTAAATTGTTACATGAAGTTAAAAGAAGATTGGCCCTTTTGGAAGAAAAGGATCAGTTGGAAGCTGTCCGGTGAATGACACTGTCCTTATAGAAATGAATTGCATTTATAATTGAAATGTATTTTCAAAGGCTCCGCAGCTGTATCTGGACACTAGAAAATACTCTAAGGCCCTGATCCTGCAAAGAGAACTGTGTCGCTGGGACCTCACTGAAGTCAACTGGGATCTGTGAGGGAGGGGGTGGGAAAAGTCTGCTTACACAGTTCTCTTCTAGGATCAGGGTCTCCCTGAGAGGGAGCCCTGTTCATCTGATCACCATGCCCAGGTGCTGCAACCATTGAACTGTTGTAAAAGTCAATCGTTTTATCTCTCTAGGTACCACTCAGCAATGCATCTCCTCCTATTTGAATACTGCTGTGTAAACAATTGAAGAAACGTGATAAATTGAAAGTACAAATACACTCTTGTATATTTCAATATGGGGAGTAAAATGTCAGCTAAATAATGATTCCATATATAAGCCAAAAAACTATTTCTGATGTTAACATTAATAGGAATGGTGCTAAAGGGCTTACCTTTTAAAAGTTCAAGGGTCTGCTTTAAAATATTTGGGGGAGGGAGAGGCGGAGGAATCTTTTTAAAAAAATGGTTGGGTTCGGTTGAAGGCCCATTCAGTTGTTAAGAAAAGGAATTGCTGGAGTCCCGTGAGGTCTTCCACAGAGGTGTTGCAAAAGCATGAGAGTAATGCATGCCATGTGACTACAGCAATAGCCTAATATATAGGAATGGTGGTTCCATGCCATTATGAAGCTAGTTCGGTTGATAAAAATATATACTTGGTCTCTAAGGAAGTGGGCACGTATATGGGTGCTAATGTTTGTTATAATAAATAAACAAACAGCCTTTATTAAGGCTAATAATCTAGCATCAAAATGGTGGATTAAGATGTTTAAGGACTGATGGAAAGATTATTTTAATTAACATTTTGGGGACTGTATTAAAGATGACTATGAATGTTTCTGAAAAACAAACAAAAAATTTTTCTTACATTTTTAGTCTTACAAATAACTTACAATGATGTACTTGCTTATAATTACTTTTTTGCTGCACAGGTAGAGACTTTGGCTAATTTAAATAGCTTCATTTAACAATGTTTAAATATCTTCCCCCTGCTTATATTCAAGTCCTATCCACTTACTTTACTGGGGGGAAAAAATTCCCTACTGCTAGCACTGTAGAGCGGCTATAGATACAGAAGAGTTAGCTGGATTCTGAGCTTCCCTGTCCATCACAATGTTCTGATTTCAGATTCTGTGCCACTGGGGATAAATAACAGAAGGGGCAGAAAGAATACTGCTTGATTTTTCGTGCCTGGATTAATTTTGCAGTGCTAGCAGTGGGGAATATAATCCATCTTCTGACTTGTAAAGTGAAGATATTTTTGATACGGAAGTCATTGCAAGACAATAAATATGGGACCCTGTACTGTTTGCAGAGTTACTGTTCTAAGTATATCACACCTTAAGAATGACATCGGAACCATGTATAAATAAGAATTTTGCCATTGGTTCAACAGGTAAGATGTTGTGCTTCCAGGATCCAATCAAAATTAACAGAAATTAGTGTGTACCTGGTACATTTTGGCTCACAGGAGGTGTGTTCTGCATGATGTACCTGGAATGTTCCATATCAGGCAAGGGGTTAAAAGAGCAAGAACAAATCAAACAGAAAGTTACATGAAAGCAGTAGCCATCAGCGTGAGTTTGGATTAGCCTATATAATTCGCTTGTGGCTTGGGTAATACAACCATCCTAAAGTCATGCTGATAAAATCTTCAAGCCACACAATGCCATCATGTATTCCATGTATCTAACAGGGTCCTCCTTGAACTTAACTATTTCTCGTCTGTTTCATATTTTAGGATAATGTTGAAAGAACATTATATTGATAAAATGCGAGTTGCTGTATTTGGGAAGGTAAAATTTTCCTGTGATCCCTACCCTCTGTTATTGTTTGCTGATGTGTTTAAGCACTTGCACTTAATCTTGATTTATTGAGTGTACCTGTGGTGGTGGTTTTGTTTTTGGAGACAGGCTGCTTCTTGCTTAGAGTTTCTAAAGATGAGATCTTTCATTTTATCAGCCCATTTATCAATGTTTCCTTTGAAATTATCTTGAAAAGGAAAAACATCTATTATTTGTGAGGAAAAAATGCTGTCAGATATGAGAAGGGGCTTGTTAGAAGAAATTATTCTTGCTATCAGTATAGAGGTACAGTGGGTGAATAGTGCTGAACGGATAATAGAATCCCTGTCTCAGAGATTGCTTACCAGTTCATAGCAGCCACTGACATGCTAATAACAGTTTTGCTATTAGCACTATTTCTGAAGGCGGTGAGGAAAGGAGATGGGTTCTTGGCTTGGTACCAGTTCGTTCAGACCTGATGGAAAACATACTAAGGTTGATAATATAGAATGAATGTACCATTGTAGCTTTGAAAACTCAGACCTTACACCCCAAAAATGGGAGTTTTGCCCCAAGCAGGGACTGCCGGTTCAGGGTCTAAGTGTAAGCAGTGTGAGTCCGACTGTATGTTCTGTTTCAGATAGATGAGACACATCCAGAATCTTTGCTGGCACATTGGGCATTGCAGTAACCAAATTCAATATCAGTGACTGATGTTTTTTAGAGGATGCTGTAGTTTTACAGACTCTGCAACAGAGCAAGACGCGAATACAGGGCTCAATCCTGGACACAAACATATACAGTTATTTTGAAGACACAAGTGGTCCTCATGGTCCAGATCATTCCTCTCCTTTGGAAGAGCACACAGTAGGAGGTTCTGGGGGAAGTGAGAATTGCCAACAGGAGCTAGGGGGCATAGGCTATGGGACCCACCCTTGAACCTGGGAGTTCCCCAAAGATCCAGAGAAGGCTTGGCCATCTGTATGGACCCCCCTGTACCTCTGCACTATCAGGGACTCCCATGGCCACTGCTTTCCTTAGAGATCCTGACTGAGTTATCTTTCCCTTCCATACACTCTTCTCACCCTGGTCTGATGAGCCTCCACACCTTGTCCTGCACAGAGATCAGACTGCAGAGGTATCTGATATCTTTACACAAGGGGGAGGGTCCCCTCCTGTGTACACATCTGCAGGTGGACACTCTCGGCTTATAACCTTTAGCCAGTGGTTAAAATACTCACCCAGGATGTGGGAGATCCAGGTTCAAATCCCACTTCCTCTGACTGACATGGAGCAAGGATTTGAGTCTAGGGCTCCCGCCTCTCAGGTGAGTGCCCTAATCAGTGGGGATTTGAGGTATGCTGGAGTGGGTCTCATTCAGTCGCTCCTGCTGAAGCTGTTCCACTTTGTATGAAATACTTAGTAGTCATAGGCCAGAAAGCGTGAGAATGACTGTACAGCCCAGATGTTAGGGCATCCCCCTGGGCCGTGGGAGACCCAAATTCCAGTCCCTCTTCCAATGCCTATGTAATTGTTTATACAAGTGAACAGTTTCCATAGGAGAGATTGAGAGAGATCCTCTCCAGAAAACCCCACAGCCCAGTGGTTAGGATGCCACCACCTCCTCCACCATCTCTGTTCTGGACGAGGCCCGTAGGCGAGATAGGTGGGGGAACACCTAGTCTGAGGATGCTACTTGGGTAGCAGGACTGAGGCAGCTGTGCACATGCCCAGCAGCAGAAATGTAGGTACCACGGGACTTTACCAGTGGCAACTTAGGGGCCTAGGGACGTAGGCACCTGCAGGGTAGGCAGCAGCTGAGCAGGGTTTGAAAATCTAAATTTTGGACGTAGGTGCCTAAATCCCTTAGTGGATCTAGCCCAAAGTTCTTTAAGTGCATAAATGGTTGCAGGATCGGGCCCATAGTTAGGACCCAGGCTTCCACTGCTTACGTGTGCAAAACTCCCATTGAGGTAAAAGGGAAGATTTTCCTGTGTAGGGCCTGCAAGAATCCGGCTTTAGGAACTGGCTAGTTTAGTAACTCTTTGTGGGGCTGTGGCACTGGTTTAGAACCCTGTTTCCCATTCATTAGACTCTGTATTGAAAACACCACTGCCCCGCATGCACCTAGGCATACACAATGCTAGCAGGTTTGTCAGAACGCACCTGACTGTGCCCCAGTGCGTCTCAAATTAGCTACCAGCCCGTTACATTGGGAAGCAGAGTTGAATGGTTTTTAATCTAATGAACACTCTGGTCTGCTGTATCTCGGCCTAGTGGGATTTTGTGTCATCTAATGGCAGGGGGGGGGGGGGGGTTTGTGTACGCTTAACACCCAGGCTAAGGCATTACCTTGTATTAGTTGCGCTCAATTTACAGCTAATCCGCACGGAGCCACAGCCACGTCTCAGGGAATGTCTGTACTGCAGTCAGAGATGTGCCGGCAGCTCATGTAGACATACTCAAGCTTGCTTTGATCTAGATAGCTAAAACAGCAGTGCAGCTCCAGCAGCATGGGCCAGGTGGGGTTGTACAGCCCGTGCTTCAGCCCGTGTTAGCGAGCTATCTAGATTAAAGAGAGCTCGGTACGTCTACGCATGCTGCAATCACACCTCTGACTGCAGTGTAGACATACCCCAGATTATAAGCATTCTAGGCAGGGAGCCATTTTTGCATTCTCACCGACACATGTGTCTGTCTGTACTCTAGGATTACGGGGGCTATCTGAGCGCTTTTATTCTCCCAGCTGGTGAAGAGAATCAAGTATTCACGTGCGGAGCTGCTCTTTCTCCATTGACAGACTTGAAATTATACGGTAAACACCACTCTCTGGAGGCCACAAAATGCCAGCTCCCAGCCACTAGTGACATTCCCACCCTCCCCTTACTAGGTCTCCCTTCTCTTTGTTTCTTAAAACCTGGCTTCTGCCTCTGGTAATGACTGCAAAGTGTGGCCATCCACATTGCCACTGCATACCCCAGTAATTTTAGAAGCTCACCCATAATGGCATAGATAGAATCATAGAATCGGAAGGGACCTTGAAAGGTCAACTAGTCCAGTCCCCTACACTCATTGCAGGACTAAGTATTATCTAGACCAGGGATCGGCAACCTTTGGCACGTGGCCCATCAGGGAAATCCGCTGGTGGGCCGGGACGGTTTGTTTACCTGCAACGTACGCAGGTTCAGCCGATCGCAGCTCCCACTGGCCGCGGTTCGCTGCTGCAGGAAGCGGCGGCCAGCACATCCCTTGGCCCAGGCTGCTTCCCGCAGCCCCCATTGGCCTGGAATGGCGAACCACGGCCAGTGGGAGCTGCAATTGGCCAAACCTGTGGACGCTACAGGTAAACAAACCGTCCCGGCCAGCCAGCGGATTTCCTTGATGGGCTGCGTGCCAAAGGTTGCTGATCCCTGATCTAGACCATCCCTGACAGGTTTTTGTCTAACCTGCTCTTAAAAATCTCTAATGATGGAGAGATTCCACAACCTCCCTAGGCAATTTATTCCTGTGCTTAACCACCCTGACAGGAAGTTTTTCCTTATGTCCAACCCAAACCTCCCTTGCTGCAATTTAAGCCCATTGCTTCTTGTCCTATCCTCAGAGGTTAAGAAGAACATTTTTTCTCCCTCCTCTTGTAACAGTTATCATATCCCCTTTCAGTCTTCTCTTCTCCAGACTAAACAAACCCAATTATTTTAATTGTCCCTCATAGGTCACGTTTTCTAGATCTTTAATCATTTTTGTTGCTCTTCTCTGGACTTTCTCCAATTTGTCCACATCTTTCCTGAAATGTGGTGCCCAGAACAGGACAAGATACTCCAGTTGAGGCCTAATCAGCATTGAGTAGAGTGGAAGAATTACTTCTCATGTCTTGCTTACAACACTCCTGCTAATACATCCCAGGATGACATTTGCTTTTTTTGGCAACAGCGTTACACTGTTGACTCATATTTAGCTTGTGATCCACTGTGACCCCCAGATCCCTTTCTTCAGTACTCCTTCCTAGACAGTCCTTTCCCATGTTGTATGTGTGCAACCGATTGTTCCTTCCTAAGTGGAGTAGTTTGCATTTGTACTTATTGAATTTCATTCTATTTATTTCAGACCTTTTCTCCAGTTTGTCCAGAACATTTTGAATTTTAATCCTATCCTCCAAAGCACTTACAACCCTTCCCAGCTTGGTATCGTCCGCAAACTTTATAAGTGTACTCACTATACCATTATCTAAATCATTGATGAAGCTATTGAATAGAACCGGACCCAGAACTGATCCCTGCCAGATCCCACTCGTTATGCCCTTCCAGCTTGACTGAACCACTGATAACTGCTCCCTAGGAACAGTTTTCCAACCAGTTATGCACCCACCTTATAGTAGCTCCATCTAGGTTGTATTTCCCTAGTTTGTTTATGAGAAGGTCATGCGAGACAGAATCATAAGCCTTACTAAAGTCAAGATATACCACATCTACCACTTTCCCCCATCCACAAGGCTTGTTACCCTGTCAAAGAAAGCTATTAGGTTGGTTTGACACGATTTGTTCTTGACAAATCCACGCTGAGTGTTACTTATCACCTTAAAAATGTGTGATAAACAAATACATACAAATGTGTGATGAACACAACCCACACACTTATCAAAAAGGTTTGTTCAGTACTAGGAAGGGCTAGTGCTTGAGCTCCAAACTGCCCCACCCTGTTTAACGTTATATGTTCTGGCTAGGTTTTAAAGCAACCTGCGTCAGCTTGTGCATGCAAATGGACACATCTGCCTAGGTTGCAGACTCGCCTTCTGATGGAGCTTCGTGAGCTTGATAAATGGTTTGGTCACATGTTAAATGAAGGGTTTTGAATAAGGTCTAAATAGAGACTCACCAGCCCAGTTCTGTGCCTGGGCAGACTCCTGCGCCCACCCAGCGCCGCACTGGGGAGCCCCACAGGACCTTGCTCATGTGGAGGGCCTTGTAGGATCTGGCCTTTATTCATTGCGTGTCACACCTGCTGGGTCTGCAAATTCTCACTGTTGCTTGTATCAGCCCATTGGAAACTCAAACTTGAAATCTTCTTCCAAAGGCCAAATATTCCCATCACCATTTGCAAAGGACTGCTCCCATTCAGCCAAGGAGAAACTGATTTAAGGTCACCTTCTAGCCTCTCCCATCAAAGCACACGTCTAAAAGGAAGCTATCCCATTCCCGCCCAGTAGACCTATATAGGGATTTTACTCCTAGCTGTTGGAAGGCACAGCAGCCTCCTTGCCTCCCCTCCATTTCTCTCCTTGGCCGGCTACTCAGTGGGACTGATACTCTCTCACTTTGCACTGGTGTACATCAGGAGTAGCTCCATTAAAATTAAGGTGCTACTCCTGCGTTAGGGCCCCTGCAACTTCCACTGAGGCCAATGAGAACATTCCGATTGACTTCAACTGGAGTTGGATCAGCCATTAGGTGAAAGCAGAACAGAAATTATATAACTTGTAGCTCCCAGTATATTTCAGTTGCATTCAGAAATCAATAGCAGAGCCCCCCTGTGACTAATGTAATGCCTCTCTATATACATTGATGGCAAAAGGCCAAGTAGCACAGTGGATCATGTGGTAGCTGTAGGTTACAAAGGTTTGGCATTACAAATGTGTTTTGACTATTCTTTTATTAGAATTAAGTTTTCTCTGTCAATGTTATTACAGACGGAGTCATTAATTCTGACCAGGTTTCTAAAACAAAACAAAAACAAGAGAGTCTAAAACATTTCTCATTTATTGAAAGCTGAGTCAGAAAATGTGGCTTTTATTTTTGGAACGGACTGCACTGGCGTAAAAACTGACCAATATGTTTTTTTAATTTCTTTTCAAGCTTCTGCCTTTTCTGAAAGGTATTTGGGACTACATGGCATTGATAACAGAGCATATGAGGTAATTGCATGAAGTTGAGAACAGAGCTTTGAGTCAGTGTGCGCACTTTCATGACAAAATGTAAACCTTTCTTTAACTTTTTAACCCTGTCTTCTTATGTACAATTTGGGGGAGGAGGGAAATACCAAAACCAGTGCCTGAGAGTAGTAAAAAGGTCTTTGTTTGAAAGTTATTTTGGCTTTAAGTTTACAGACTGACTAGCTGTTTTGGTTTCCTTGAATTTAATGGTAAAGTAATTAATAGCCTTGTCATTCATTAATCCTCAGGCTACCCCTCTAAAGTAGGTAGGTATTATAAGCTCCATTTTACAGGTGGGAAAGCTGAGGCAGAGAGGTTGAGTGACTTGTCCATGGCCACAGGATGAATCAGTATCAACGCTATGGTTAGAACTCTGTTCTGGTGCTCAGCCCATTAGGTCTTGCATTTTAAGCTACAGTCCATTTAAAGTCCCTTTAACATTTCACCAAGGACGAGCTGCTGATAGTGGTAAGCACAGAATGGGTATTTCAGAATTCTGAAGCTTGAGTTGCTGGTAAGCAGAACTCTGGGCTTGAGTCTAGCAGGGTTTAAAATACAGATAGCTCATTAGTAAGGGTATTATTGTTCAGGGTGCGAGGGAGGCTCAATGGGTGTGAATGCTTCAGCTACTCTGAAGAAACTAGAAAAGAGTAGCTAAGTGGAGGGAAAGGGTCACTGGGCTGTGTCTGTAAAGTGCTGAAAAATTGGTGCTAACCCTGCACCCAGCCCAATGAAATGGATTTTGCACAGGCATTCACCACTGGGGTTTGAAATAATTGCCCACTTCACAACAAAGAAAAATCAGCCAGAGCCCCTGTGCTCCTCCTTAAGAGGTAGGGCTTGTGGGTAGGTGATCCATATAGTGAATTCACTGGCCCTCTGAAATTTCACAAGCACAGTTAGGCCGTGGTAGATTTTTTTTTCTAGAAAGTTGAAGGCAAATCAATCAAAATGAAAGGGGTTCTAAAGCAATCAGTGTTCTCATTTGGATGTAGTGCAAAATAGCTTGGCTGTATGTTTCAGAAGGTTGGTTTGGGTAAGTACTGGTACTTTTGACTAACTTGGGGAGAGAACCATTTAACTGTTAAATGCCATTGACTGCATCTGTGGAACATCGCAGTGTTCTAAGTGTGGCCTGCTGTGCCAGACACTGCTGTAACGCGTGCTTCCTAAACACCACAACTGGGCCGTGCACTCTCTAGGAATCAAGGAGCACAAGACTGCCATTTCCTGAGCCCTGGAACTGTGATGTGGAATTTATAAAGACCGCATGGCCCAAGGCCTGATGCAGACTTTATAAGCCATATTATTCTCCTGGAGGCAATGTTATAACGGAGGGAGCAGCATGCAGGAACTAGATGAGAACCAAGAGACAAAGAGTCTGTGTGGAAGGATGTTCCCTGCTGGGTTTTTTTCACCTGTGTATGCTTACATTCAGGTTTCCTTTTGTTTCCTCCCTCCCCCATGTCTGCTTGATAACTCCATTTACTGCTTAAATGCAAATGAAACCAAACACACATTCCTTTGTTTAGGACAGATTTGTTTGCTGACTTCTGCCTGGGCAGGGATATGGGGAACATGTGCTAATAATATCAGAATCTTATAACTTATGTTGCTATATATATTTCACCATGACAATGCTGACAAGCAATTTATGAGTTTTCAAATGATACCTCACAAGGCATACTTTATACAAAGATTATTACAATAGTGTGTAAGGTGTGAATGCAGGGGTGCAGCCATCACACCCATCATCTACTGTTGGGGCAGGATTGGTCATGAAGGGCAGGAAAAGGTTAGAGAAATGGACAGCGTAATTCCTCCTCTATTCTGCTGCTGTAATGATTCAAGCCGCCAAGAGGAAGAGGTTGCAATGATATCAGCTTGTTATTCTGGTGATCAAATATAAAACAGAGTTAAGTGCTACTTTGCTATGTATACAGAAATCACTACTTTCTGGCATGATGCTTAATCTTACCTGCAACTTCTATCTTCACAGATCACCAAATTAGCACACAGAGTCTCATTACTGAAAGATCAAAAGTTTTTGATCATTCATGCCACAGCTGATGGTAAGTGAACTCACTATTTTAGTGCGATACATTGTGTAGTTTATGAGACTCTTTGATTTTTTTCTTAATTAAAGTTGCCACTTTTATGCATTTATTGATACTAATCTGATTTTACAGAAAAAATCCATTTCCAGCATACTGCAGACCTTATTACACACCTAATTAGGGCAAAGGCTAATTACAGCTTGCAGGTACAGTATATGTGTGTTTCCATTTTTCATACTTAAACAGTCACTTGCACTTTGAACAGAAAACAGATGTTATGAAGTAAGCGTTAGAAAGCCCTCACTGTATATACAATACAATATAAAAATACAAATAGAACAGTAATTCTAACTTATATGTATATTATATAGTTTCTCTCTCTCTCTCTCTCTCTCTCTCTCTCACACACACACACACACACACACACACACACACACACATATTATATCATTATTTAGATTTGGCCCAATACTGCACAGTTGTTAGACTCAATGCAGAGGTGAAAGTAAGCCGGTGCAGTCCGGTACGGCGTACTGGCAAGAGCCGGTACGCCGTGCCAGACTGGACTGGCTTCCCCGGAGCTCAGGACTCCGGTGTACCGGTAAGTCCTTTAAGTTACTTTCACCCCTGGCTCAATGCATATGTTCTTAGGCTGGGATTCTCAAAGGAATTTGGAATTCAACTCCTGCTGACTTTCAGTGAGAACTAGGAGCACAGCTCCATATTCCCCTTTGAAAATTACAGCTTTAGAAGTCTGTTATAATCAACTGGCATTCATATAACGTGTAAACAAGTTGCCTGTTAGACCTAAATTAAAAGCATAGTTGAGATTATGTAGGACATTTCCTTTAGAGAGTTATCAACGTTCCTTCTAACAAAAAATAAATTCCTTTTTCAACAAGTTTGCATTCAACTTTTTAAGTAATGAAACTATTTTAATTCACATTGGAAGGAGTAGATCCTAAGGCCTTGTCTACATAGGACTACACTCATTTAGTTCAACTGGAGGATACCCCGGTGTGGTCACATTACCAAGTTCTGTCAGCATAGCTATGTCGGTCAGGAATGTGAAAAAACCACCACCACCTCCAACCGGCATAGTTATGCTGGCAACACTCCCAGTTCATGTCCTTCAGGGAGCTGGTGGTACAATGCTGACAGAAAAACTCCTTCTGTCAGCATAAGCTGCATCTACACTAGAGGGCTCTTCTGATATAGGTATTACCTGCAAAGCATTTGTACTGTAGCTAAGGCCTATTTAGGTCTAACTTAAACCTGATCAGAATCTACTTTTAAATTGAAATAAGAATGTCCACACAGACGTTGGCACCAATTTAACTCAATTGGTTTAAATTCAGTCTGTTAGTTTAGCCAGTGCAAGACAAGCCCTAAGTGCTATATGACAGTGTTTGTATTGATGTTTATTAGCTAGAGCTGGGCCTGAGCTGCAGAGGTCAGCTCTGGATGGATCCCAGGTGTTCAGATCTGGGACTGCAGTTCGGGCCCATCTCTAATCTGAACGTAAAGCTACTCACGGTCTCCTTGGTTCCTTTGCAGATATACCCCGATGAAAGCCATTACTTTAACAGTGCAGCACTCGAGCAACACTTGTACAAGTCCCTCGTCAATTTCTTTGTGGACTGTTTCAAAGTTCAGGACAAACTCCCGATAGTCACACTGAAAGAGGATGAGGAGGAGGATTAACCCTTTTGGTTCGTGCGAAGCACAAGGCCATTCTTTATAACAATATGCAACTGAATCATTTTCCTGGAGAAAGAAATGTTATGTTGTTAGCATGTATTCAAACGAAACTGAAAGCAGCTCGCCTGCTTTACGGACAGCAACTCCTTCCTGAATGGAAGAACATTAAGCATGATAAACTCAGCAGAAACTGCTGTCTGACATGAATCCGTCACAGACATCACCGTCTTATTTGCCACAAAATGACTTCTGGAGTAAAAGGCTCTCAAGAAATTGGACTTGAAGGACCACCCCAAGAAACTACCTTGAGGACTAGTAGGTTAAATGGCCCTTTTGCATTCAAGAAATGAAGCAGTAGCAATGAAATACATCATCTCTATTAGGGTTACCATAGTTAGCATCCTGTTGTGTCAGATAAAACTTAATAAATGGAAAAGATTATAGCACAATTATTTTAAAGGTACTGATTCATACATATTTGCCTGCTCTCCCCCATGTTTAGAAGATTCATCACTGCTATGGGGCATACAGATTCTAATTATACAAAGTATCACTGTAGTTACACTAATGTTTAATTAGCCTCATGTAATTAATTACTATTTGATATTGTTTTTACCTGTTCCTCTTTACATTTGATCTCATGCTCACCTTATCAGCTTCACAACTTGTCATGGATGTGGAAGAAAACATGCATTGAACTAACTAGACCAGTGTTTTTCAGTTGCTGGGTCATGACCCTAGAGGCGGTCACAAAAGGCAATCAGGGAAGGGGGGGTGCAAGATGTTAAATTTTTATTACAATGTAAAGCAAAGAAAATCTTGTTCCCTCCCTCCCTGCATGTGCTTATCCTTCAATTATTCTCTGTTAACCTCTCCAAGCACACACACAAATAAATTATTTTGGGGCAGTTTAATGGCTTGTGTTATACAGGAGGTCAGACTTGATGATCACGGTGGTCCCTTCTGCTCTTGGGATCTATGAATTTAGGCTAAGCTTTGATATAATTTTTACTCTTCTAAAGTAAATGTAAGGGGGTTGCAAACATTTGTTACTTTGAATAAGTGGTCAGAAAAGATTGCGAACCACTGATCTACACTCTGGTAGAGGGAGTTTGCATCAGATACTTTGCTGATCGTCTTCTGAAGCATTAAAAAAGAAAATCAGTGTGGATAGACTTATTTCATAGGCTGTCTGCAGCTTAGTTTTGATTTTGGATTCCAAGGCAATGATTATCACATTCCACTTTTAGTTATGTCTTCTGTTTGCAGGAGGTTGGTAAAATCAGAGCATCTAAAATCATACAGGTCTTTGCAGGGGTGGAAAACAATGTTTAAAAACCCATGTGAAAATCTTTCAAATCTCAAAAATCATTCTTTCACCTCCAGTTACCATAGCATAAAGATTTTGGCTAGTGTTGCTCCTTGTAAGATATTCTGACCAAATGTACAGCCAGTATTAATATTGTATATTTCATTTTGTTGTATATAAAGGAATGTAAGTCCGTTATTTGTCAGGTCTCCAATCCAATATTAGTCTTGTGTTGAGCATGCATGCTATAACCTTCCTTTGCTGATCAGGACTCTTTAGAAGTACTAGCTTGGAAATATATCAATTAATGTAATTTCTTTTCTTGTTTTGACAACTTGAATGTCAGCGCAGGTTTCTACATTTTTACACAGTACTGTGGGTAAACTCACATCCTGACAGCAATGATGATGTATCCATTGTGTTCCTTAATGTGTCAAGTTTTTTTTTATTTTAATCTCTAAGCTTTGACGGCTGGTTGTAATTAGATCATCCTGGACACTATATTGGTAAATCACAGAAACAATCGAGTTTGGTTTGGGGGTTTTTCTTTAATTTACAGTGCATTGACATTTTGCGAACAGGAACTACAGTATAAATCTGCTTTACTCGGCAGTATGCCAAATAGACAATACGAATGCTGTGTGTCCAGATTTTACTACACTAAATGGGCTCAAAAGTCTGAAATGAACTGGATCAGAAAAACATCGAATCTGCTCTGTCCGCAATCTTTTGTAGGAGGACATTTAGGATGTGGCATGGTAGTGTTCGTTCATCCATGAAATAAAACATTATTTTACCACCCTGCTTGCTACTTTTTGGTTTTTAGTTAAGTATTTAAATAATAGTTACCATCCGTGTGATTTCTAACTGAGTTGGAACCCAACCCCCAGATGCCATATATAGCATCTCAATGTGACTGCAGAAAGTCACTTACTGCGCACCTCACCCTAAGGAGTGATTGCTGTTTCTGAGGAAGTCATGAAGTCCTGTAGAATGTGTTCAGTCCAAAAGAACCTCCTAATGTGAGGGCCTCTGTTATTCAACCATCTTTTATGGCAACTGTGCCCTTCGATGTATATTCTCTTTCTCTCACAGGAGAATCATCGGTGTCCTTTCTACCATCCACCCCCATTCACCTCTTGCCTGCCTGCAGCTGAATGGCAAGGACATAGGCCAGTATTCTCAACTAGGGAAAATCGGCCAAATGGACTTTTAACATCAAGTACAGCAAGTTGCAACGGAGACCACAAAAGAGGTTTAACTCTATTGCCATCTCTCCCCTGTCTCTTCTGCTGGAAGAACGACGGTTTTCAGGTTAAAGTGAAAGGAATGGGAGTGAGAACGTGCTATTCCAACAGATTTCCTGTGTGATTATGGGCAAGTTACCTGTGGGTGTGCGTGTCTATCAGTAAAATGGGAATAATACCCATCACTACATGGCATGGAGCTCCTTGGTTACTAGGGAAGGGCTACGTTTTCTTCACATCTTATATGTAGCCTCTCTCGAATTGGAAAAGAATCCTTTATTGTTCTAAACGCTGGTGTAAACTGGAGAGTTTTCTCCCATTACAAGCCTTGGTTACCTTCCCACCCCCTTACATACACACAAATGTCACACGCTACCCTGCACCGCAGGCTGCTACTTCAAGGGGAGTTGGAAATCTGCACTCCCAGAACTCATTATTCCACCAGAGGATTTTTTCCCTATTATCCCTTTAAAAGCTTAGGATCGGGTGCTTGCTCCTGGAATAAATAGTAGGGGATGGAAGGCACGTTTTGCAATGGCATCTTGCTGATTGTTTAGGTCACATGGCCTAAGCTCAGAATGATGTGACATTATCTGATTCCGTGTGCTGGACCCTATCTCTGAAGGAGTGCAACAAGCAGATTTTACAATCAAACAAGGTAATGGTGAACAAAGTCATTTTAACCTCTGCTACCAGCAATTCAGGCATCAAGAAGATTTGTCATTGCTATGGGCATAAGTAGTCCAGTTATCCAAAGTATTGCTGTAGTTACACTACAGTTTAATTAACCTTATGTAATTAATTACTATTGCATTGGGTGATCAGAGTGAGCTCTTCAATTTGATGGCGTGTTTGTCTTGCTGGAACACGATAACTTTTGAACGTTGCCTCTGATCGATTCCAAAAATTCAAGGACCATTCAAGGATTGAGCAGAACCCTATTGACGTTGGGGAATTAAGGGACACAGCGCCCCTGCCAGGTGGTGAGCAAACCCGGCAGTTTCAAACACCTTTGTAACTACCTATAGATAAAAAAAAAAAAGGTTGATGGCAGCCATCAACATCTTCCAGGATATCCCTCACTCCCTTCCCCGCCCCCATATCTCAGCTCTATTCATCCTCCCAATACAGCTTAACATGTTGACTCCCCAAATGACTTACCTCCCAGACAGAAAGACAAGAAATAAGAATTGGGGGGAATTGTGGCACATACAGAGCCCCTGCCTTGGTGGGAGAGAATGGAGGACCCTGTCATGGAGGAATGGGGGAGGCATACAGGCCTCCTTGCTAAAGGAAGAGAATGGGGGTAGGGAACATGGATACTCAGCTGTGATGTGGCACGGGAACAGCAGGGCAGGCACACAGCCATTGGTGGGGGTGAGACTAAAGGGGCACAACGAGCCCTTGGCCTGAGCCGGGGTGTGGCTTTGTACCGAGTCTCTGAACTAGAGACAGGAACAGCGTTTTTGTGAAGGGAAATCAGGCCTCACCAACCTATTAGAAATCTTTGGGGGTGGGGAGGTTAGCAAACATGGACAAGGGTGACCCAGTGGCTATAGGATCTGTACTGGGACCAGTTCTGGTCAACATGAGCTAGAAAAGTGGGGGTTAAGCAGTGAGATGGCAAAGTTTGCAGCTGATACTAGATTACTCAGTCCAAAACTCACTGGGAAAAGTTACAAAGGGAATCTCAAAAAATTAGGTGACTGGGCAACAAAATGGCAAATGGAATTGAGTGTTGGCAATGCAAAGTAATGCACATTGGAAAACAAAATCCCACTTATATATACGAAGTGATGGGGTCGTAGTTAGCTGGTACCACTCCGGAAAGTGATCTTGGAGTTATTACAGCTAGTTCACTGAAAACAGCTGCTCAATGTGCAGCGGCCAGCAAAAAAAGCTTACAATGTTAGGAGCTATTATGAAAGGGCTAGACGATAGGACTGAAAATGCCATAATGCCACTTTATAAATCCATGGTATGGCCACACCTTGACTACGGCATCCAATTCTGGTCACCCCATCCCAATAAAAAGATATATTAGCATTAGAAAAAGTACAGCGCTGGGCAACAAATATGATGATGGGTATGGAACAGCTGCCATACGTGAAGAGAGTAAAAAGACTGGGACCTTTCAGTTTTGAAATGAGACGACTAAGGGGGGATATGATAGAGAGCTATAAAATCATGACTGGTGTGGAGAAAGTTGAGGGAACTGTTATGTACGCCTTCCCGTAGCACAAGAACTGGGGGGGGGTCACCCAATGAAATTAATAGGCAACAGGTTTAAAGCAAACAAGAGGAAGTACTTCTTCATACAATGCACCGTCAATGTCTGGAACTCATTGCCAGGGGATGTTGTGAAGGCCAAAAGTATAACTGACTTAAATAATGAGTTAGATAAGTTAATGGTGGACAGGTCCCTCAACAGCTATTAACCAAGATGGTTGGGGCACAACCCCCAAGCTCTGGGTGTCCCTAAAACTCTGACTGACAGACACTGGGACTGGACGACAGGGAATGGCTCATTTGATAATTGCTCTGTTCTGCTCATTCGTTCTGAAGCCAGGGTACTGGGGCTAGCTAGGCCATGGTCTGCTTCAGTACAGCCAGTCGTATGTAATGCCAGGAACCCTTGGTGTGCCCAGTGAGAGTCATTGACAGAAGCAGCAGCAAGTGCAAGCCTCTAATATAGTGGTCACGTGTTGCTCTGTTTTCTTTAGACTCATGCTCCCCTATTAGCTCCTCTCAGGCCCCCTACAACCTTTCTCCAGTGCAAACAAACCCCTCCTACCGCACCCTGTTGCTGGCTAGAGGACTGGTGCAACGTGGTGTAGTGTGGCTGGCGTGTTCGCTCCCTGGCTGGTGGCACGGGACACTCACTCCCCTGGTTTAGTTGAGAGGGAAGCCTCATATTATCCGCAGCGCCTCCTGTGAGAGTGTCACGTCGCTCGCTCTCGCCCCACCCCTTGTCTCCAGTTGTGCTAGGGAGGGGGTCACTGTTCTTGCACCCAGCCCAGCTGTCATCGCAATGCTTCTGCTTTGTCCAGGCATCTGGGCGCCCATTGCCCAGCTCCTGTATGTAGGTTTGCCAATTTCAGTCAGCCGTAGTCCCGGTGGTTCCATCACATGACATAATTTTTAATTAACGATTAATCTTTAATTCCTGGAGGGGTGGGAACCGGGTGGGAACCCTCCCTGTACCCAGGTAGCTCCTCCTCCCTGGAGCAAGGCAGACGTGCCAAGGCGGGGGGCGGGGGTGGGCGCACTGGGTGTAGAGTGCACTAAGGCCCCCCCACAGCAGCAGACCCTGTTGCGCCGGCACAGTCGAGCAGTGGACAGCAATGCAAGTGTGACACTGCCACAGCAGAGGCAGCACATCGCCCTGGTCCACAGGCTGGCCGGGGGCCTCTGACCCAAACAGGACCTACAGCCCAAGCTGTACAGTGCGATGCAATGCAGCTGACAATACTAGAGGCAGGCTGGCTTAGTGGCTAGAGCTCTGGAGTGGGACTCACTCTGCAGCCTGGGTGGGGGCTTCCTCACTCTGCCACTGGCCTGCTGGGTGACTTCGGCCACTTTGCTATGGCTCAGTTTCCCAGCTGTAAAATGGGGCTAATGCTACTGCCCTTCTCTGTAAAGCACTTTAATAATAATAAGCCAGAGATTTCAAAGCACAACTAGACTGTACCCTCACAGCATGACAGAAACTGGCTCTGTGCTGTTCGGGGGGGGGGGCAGGGTGTTAGAAATAACAAGCGGGAGGAAGCACATGGCCTCAGTTTCCTATTTTAGTAATTGTATGGGGTTTAAGCTCATTTTCCTCAACAAACATCCTCCCCCCTTTCCTGTTCGCATCCCTCTATGAACCGGACACTTTCAGCCTGGCGCATCAATGTGTTCTCTGGTTCTCGGCTTCACCACTGACAAATACTAGTAAAGCTGGAAAGC